TGATTTGCCTGTTTACAGCCTCCCAAGAGCTGAGATCACAGGCGTGCACCACCATACCCAGTCTCAACTGCATCTTGGCACGCCCCAGGGGCGGGGTAGGCACGGCAGGGTTTGGGATTGAATCCCCAGCCCCTGTGTCTGCTTGCTGGCACTTTAATATCTGTTGAGCTATTTGGCCGGCCCTGATTTTAAAATCTTTGCAAAAGGTAGAGGCTAGACAGAGGAGGCAGCTCTGCTAAAGGCATGAGCGAGCAAGCAGGGACACAGGCTGAGGGACACTGCCAAGGTCTCATGCTTCCCTGAGGGGAAGTCCACCAGCTGCAGCCATTACAGGTGTAAGATCTTTCTGTTCCTTTAGAGGCACTGCTCGTTCTAGCCCAATCCTGACACAGGGCAGAGCATGTCAACAGTAAGGAAAAAGAGATGCTTGGGAAAGGCCGGGCAGGTTCCACCAATATACGTACTTTCCATAAGAAGTATCTTTTAATACTAGTTCTGGAGCTCTATACCAGCGTGTGGCCACATAATCTGTATAAATGTCACCAGGAGCTGCTAGTGTTCGTGCAAAACCAAAATCACAGACCTTCGCAATTCCTGACTGGGACACTAAAATATTCTCAGGTTTTATATCTCGATGAATAATCTAAAAAAAAAACAGAAAATGAAATATATTAAAATGTGGTTCCTTTATCGGGGAATCTCTCCAAAATTACCAAGAAAAACTAGCTCATTTAAACAGTGATACTATGTAAAAAGTTGTTTTTAATTAATGAAATGAAGCAAAGATAAACAATATTAAAAAGGTAAATCACATTCAAAAGATCGAAAGGAGCTGGGCGGGGCAGGGCACACCTATAATCCCTGCACTCAGGAGGCTGAGGCAGGGGGATCACCATGAGTTTGGGGCCAACCTGGGCTACATAGTGAGCTCAAGGCCAGACTGAACTACATAGCGAGATCCTGCTTCAAAAATAATTGAATGTTCATCAAATGGTATATGATAAAGTGTACTATTATCCATACAGAAGAATATTACTCAAATAAACAATACATGCTACCCAAAAATGAACTTCAAAAAACATTATGTTAAGTAAAAGGAACCATGTGTGAAAGGCCACATGTGCGACTGCATTTATAAGCAGGTTCAGA